AGAGCTTTTCTATGTGTCAACATGCACAATAGGAGCATACTAACTCTGTTTGACCCGAACGGAGTGGAACCTTAATTAGTATCAGTGTAACACCTGAGTTTATCTTACTATTTAAACGCAAAATGACTGCTGTGAATAAAGGCTATTATTGTCAAACTAGACAGGATAGTCTCTTTTAGAACACATCCTTAAGAGGGGTTGAGAGAAGAAGGTCAGAAATCAGTGATCTCCAAATAAGAGGATGATTTATTTCTGATGAGACAGAGAGGTGGTTATTGTGAGCAGTAACATTTTCCTCTGTGTACTGTTGAATTCATAGAGAAGATTGAAAAAAAGAAAAACAACTGAGAATAGGGACAGGAAAACACATGTCCAAAGAGAATCCTGTGCATTTTTTGAGGACACCTAAATCTGTCTACAATCACCAGACCACCCACCTGTCTCAGACATTAGTGCATGCAGAGCAAGATCACAATGGAAACAAGCAAGCATAATAAATTGCTAGGAATAAGTGACATTTAAACAGACAGTAGCTATTCACAGGCATATTAAACTGCTGTAAGGTCGTTATCTTTGCTTGATCTGGCGTTGGTTGGACTACTGTTTACAGTACTCCCTACACACCCACACACACACACATATACACTGTGTGTGTGTCTTTCTCTTTTTCTCTCACCACTGCTACAGTGTGATTAACACCGCTTCTCTTTAGACGAGAAAGCCCAAAAACTCTGGGGAAGAAATTAAGTTAGTAGCATGCATTAATGGGACATGAATGTGTATAGCTAGAGAGGGAGAGGATGAGAGAGCACAGTGCATCATGGGAAGCCCCCCAGCAGTCTAGGCCTATGTCAACATAACTAAGGGATGGCTCAGGGCTCACCTGAGCCAGAGCCTGAACTCTAAGCTTTATCAAAGAGGAACGTCTTAAGCCTGCTCTTAAATGTGGAGAGGGCATCTGCCTCCCAAACCAATCCCTTTTTCTATGAATTTCCTTAAAGCATGCTCGTAATCTAACTAATTGATGAGTCTCATCTGGCTTGATCGATAGATATAATTGGGTATCATCTGCATAAAAAATGAAAGTTAATTGAGTGATTCCGCATAATGTTGCCTGAAGAAATATAAGAAGAATAGAATTGGTCCAAGCACAGAACCTTGTGGAATGCCATGACTAACTTGGATGTGCATGGAGGATATATTGTTAACATGTACAAACTGATATCGATCTAAAAAATAGGACTTAAATCAGCTTAGTGTGCAGCAGCTCCCAGTTAACCAATCTTCGCCCCAGTTTCTGCAGCTGTATCTTCAGCCTCACCTGTACCGAGGTCATGATAATGACCAGGTGGGGTCACGTTACTTGAGCTAAGTCACACCAGGATTTGGTCTGGTTTTCAATTTTACTTACATTCAACTAATTAACTGTTCTATTTTCTAGATGTGTTTATATTTATTAAAGAAATCATATTATTTTCATAACCATTCATTTGAGTCACAGAAAACATTATTGTATTATAAACCAGAGAGCAAAACACAAGGCACAAAAAGGACAAGGTTATTTTTCTGTATAAGACATGGTTAGTTTGGTGAAAGAACAGAGATGTTCTTTCCAAAGTTGGCCAGATCCTTCTTTCTGCAGAAGTCTAGTATAACAAAGAAAGCGTTATTATGAGGAAAGGGCATAAAATTTATTTTCTCAAAAACATCTTCATCCTTATCTGTATCCAAGGAGAAGAAAGGCAGGTGTCCTCAGTGGTAGACGGTTGAAGTGACAATGTTTTTGTGTCTCTAACCAGGAGGTTTCCTTTTGTAATGGCACCATCAAGAGTCTAAAAGCATAACAGTATTATCATGTGACTAGTTTATATCCATTCAAGAATAGCCCATCCCTCTGAGTGTAACTCAGGTATTGCGGAAGTAAACTGTTTATTTAAAGTTATTGACCAAAGGAAAAAAAGAACAACTACAACAAGAGCTGGGCACTGGATTGACACTCATCAACCACTGCTAGGTCAACCACATGGGCCATTTCACGCACAATATCGGTCTGCTTCCCTTTGATCAGGTTCCTCATGCACTTCACATGTGTAGACAGTACTTTAGTTGTGTGGACAGGCACATGTTATGGGTCTGGAAAACTATTACTAAACTAGGGGGAAAATATTAATAAGTTTGTCTTCCAACGGTTGTTCCTTGACCTTAATTAGTAAGTGTGAAGTGAACCTATCATGACGTCACCCATTGATTTGTGGAGTTCCGAGGTTTGGCATGATGGCCATTGCCATGTTGTTTTTTTTGCAACCAGCAGCAGTGACGGACTACTTACTACTACCAAATAGACTACCAACTACTGCGAGTTGGGCTGCGCTTGGTTTCACCTCATCTGTAGCAGGAAACAATGGCAGCTTGCTTGGTCAAACACTTTCTTGTATTTCAGATAAACAGTAAACTAAAATGTTTCTGAAAAGATTTTAAGCAAAAAATAGGCAATGAGGTAACAGAATCTTGAATAATAGTTGATCAGCACTGCCTGGTTTGACAATTTTGATCTTTGTTTTATGTGTTGCGCTGGATGGACTCACTGAGAATTACTTGTCAATCCCAAGGTGATGGACTTATTGTCTGTTTTACTCTAAACTGGACCATAATTTACTAAATGAATATTGTGCTGTATGGAAGACTTATTAAGCGATTGATTGAGACCATAAACCCTTACTGAGGTAATAAATCAATTGAGAAGTAGGGTGATTTTCTATTACATTACATACAACAAAGCTTCTTATTGCTACCAATGGAGCTGCCCCCTGGTGGCCATTAAAAAGAATACATGTTTAAAGTACTTCCGCATTGGCCTCATTTCACAGACCCGGAAGCTCCGTCCTCTATTTATTATACAATCTATGCTGTGTACACACAACAGATCTATTATTGTAATAGCCAGCAGGGGTTTGACCTCTTCTGTATTCCAGCAGGTTGAATTGATAAAAGCTGCCTGTGGGAGGCCTCCCCTATCCTTCACATCTTTAATGTGTGCTAGCAATGAGCTCCTTGGGAATATAACTAATTACTTCACATCTGTATTTATTTGATCCACATGGAATTATCCCTTCTGTCACTGGCAGAATGTGCTGCCAGCCATGGGTAGCAGTGATTCATCTCAGCAACACGTCTGGCACAGTTTAACAACAAAACAGCAGGAAAATCAATACAAAGAAATGAAGAAGACCATGTCATGTTGCACATTCAATCTAATGCAAAAGGATGTAAAAAGATAAATAGAATGTCTGGATGTAAAAAGACAATATAACAACACCTTGATTTTATTGTATGAAGTTAATCAAAACAATTTAGAATTTTTAAAGTACTGCAGTTAGATGGAATGAACAGATAATTAAAGCAGCTAATACTGAATTTAATTATTTACTGAACGCCAGCTGGAAACCATTAAACTTATTTTCTTTATTTAAGTATAAGTTAATATAGTTATGGTGTGTTTACTTCCAAATGCACAGATGTTTAATTTCAAAAGTAGTAAAAGGGAATGAAAAATAATATCACAGACAGAGAGTGCAGCTCTTACAAGACAACTGTATAGTAACAATCTCCTCTAGTACCCTCTAGAGGAGAATTCACAAACTACAGATGCTTGGAGCACCTCTACAGTACAATACAATCAATTTCTCTACAGTAAATTCTAAGGATTCTGCAAAAAAGTCAGTCTTTAAAGTTTACACTTGCACTTGAATATGTTTAAACTTACCTGAAATAATGTATAGCCTCAGGTGTGAGGATAGTAGGAGTGTGAGGCCTGAGTTGTCCCTATATCAGCTCTGTCTGCAGCTCTATCACACTTCAGGAGCCTGGTCTAATAGTGCAAGATGTCGTCACCCAGATGTCACAACATTTTCATCAAATTTTATTTTAAAAAGGACTTCACAAATTACATGTTCACAGTGAAGACATAAAAAGTTATTGTGTGTATATATATATGGTGGTGGGGCGGCGAAAAGCTCCAACCTCTAATATCACACAGTCTGCTTATTTGGATGTTCTGTAGAGGACAATTCTTCTTAACTTCAGTCGCTGAGAGTATCCTGTCAAAACAAGGTCACAAAAATGTGCACACAAAGAGAGATTCATATCTTGTCTAATTAGCTTTATTCGAGATCTGTAGAACTATCCTCAGATGTCGCACTGCTAGGCTTGTGGGTGGGGTAGTTATGTCTAATCACACAGTAGTGCAATCTGATGATTAATTTAGCTTAATAATTAGCAGGTGCAATGTCTGTTGTGTGCTGGGAGTCCTATGCACCATGTCCAGCCACCACTGAGCTATATCCAGTGGTACCTCCAGGATTTTACTCAATGTCTGTCTGGATTTCTGCCTGAGAGAGAATCCTCAACTGAATCAAGGTAATTAAATGATTGGATTCATGCTAATTAACAACAATGGGGTTCAACTTTCTAATTATCCTTGCTCACACAGCACTCTCTGTAGCCACCCCAAGTGCAAATAAAGCATTCCATCTGCTAGTAATTAGGCTTAATAATTTTAGACAATCGCTCAATGATTTACAATGCACATGCCTGATTACAGTCTAAATGTGAGTGCCATGGTGAAATTAGAACAAGAATGGATCATAGCTTGCACTTTATGTCTAGTGCAAAAACACAGCAGCTTCTTCCTCTTTTGAGTGTTTTCTTTTTTTTTGCAAAGCAATAAAATAAGACCTTTGTGTCTCTTGCAAATATTCTGCATAATGGCTTTTCATTTGCTTAATCTGCAAATTAAATGGCGATTGAGACTAAATTGTTCAGTTCCCTGGCATGGGGACTGTCATCATCCTGTGAGTGCTTTCCTGCAGAGAGTCATTTGAACCAGACAGAGTGCCTCCACCAGGGCCACAGACTGGGGCAGCAGAGTGGTGAGATAGGGGATGACTGCTGCTAGATCAGATGTGTGTGTATGTGTGTGTGCAGCAGGCAGAGAAAGCTACCTAATGAAGGGATGTGGATAATGGTCCTCTTGGAGGACGGGGTGTGTTTCCAGTTGGCTGCCAGATGCTGGGGATAGAGAAAAGGCGTGATCAGACAGGGGAATGCTTGAGCGTACACACACACACACACACACGCACACACAAATCATCACATCACTGCATAGCTAAAACACATCAAGCCAATATCTCTCTGGGCTAACAGAAGCAAACCAAGCATAAAATACCACCTTAATTAAATTAAGCGTTTACTTTAGAAACATCTTCTCACAATTAATTCAATCAGCAAGGTACATGATGCTACTGCCAGGGGAAGATTAGCAGGCTTAATTAACAGGGTATGAATGTTTAAAGAGTGAGAACATACATTTAGTGCATGTATACACACAAAACGATGTTAAAACTAAATGAACTTGTAGGCACTAATTAATACTGTGTCAGTGCTTCTAAAGATGTTCAACCCAGATGACAGCACAGACATGACATCTACGCTGAATAGGAAAAGAAAATTACAGAGAATTATGCATCTAGGAAAATTGTGCTGTCATACTGCTCTGTTGAAGAGCTAAATAGAAGCACATTTTTATTTCTCAAGCTTAATATTGTAAGGTTCTGTAGGAAGTTGGTCTTCAAAGCTTGTCAAGGGCAGCAAGAAAATCTAGAATTTAATTATCTCGTTAATTCTAACTGCATTAAATTAAATTAGTTTTGCCATGGTTTATACTTTATTATAATATCCCACTCAAACCAATAGCTGTGTCCCACTCTACTACAAACCTTATTATTTTAAAACTAAATATCATCACAACACATTTTTTAATTTAAATATTTAAACAATCTACAATATTTATTATACATTTAGCTACTTTTACATGTACTGTAACTGACCATTAGAATGGATTAGGTACCTTTTTTGCCCGTGATCTTTAGCCCTCACAATCTCCATGTGTCTTCTTTTGCTGCCAATGTGGCCGCACTTTTATTTGTTCATCTGTCTCACTCTCTCTTTCCGCTGTTCCCCTCTGTTCATCCAACTCCTCTAATCTTTTATGTTTATCTTGCTTCTCTCTATTGTTCTACTATGTCTCACTGCTCCCCTCTGCTGTTCTGTGTTTCTGTTCATTTCAAACCAGAAGTACTAAAGCAGCACATTTTAATTAAAGTTACATACCATGATTAATGACCCGGCTTTCTTATTGACATGGCAGCACCCCATTTCTGTTCTTACTTTTACACTACTTTACTCAGTAGTAGAGACTCTAAAAGGATGTAACTCAAATGCATATTTTGAGTAGCCCACCATAAAACGCTGAATGGGAAACAGAATGTTATAGTAACCAGATGAAATGAAAAAAAATATTTTTTTGTCTTGTTTTCTATAGAGTCAACGGCTACATTTAAATAGCAAACATTTAACATTTAAAGACAATGCAGATAATTTAATTTGTATAATGTCTTATTCAATTGAATTTACAAGTCATAAATAAAAGTCTGACTTTAATTGTGAGAAATTGGGAAAAAAAGAGAAACAAAGCAATCTTTGAAAACGTAAGAGAGCAATATTAAGTAAAAGAGAAGGAGAAACAGAGAGAAAGCACACATTGGATATAAGCAACATCACCTGGGCTCTGCTACTGTAATCCTCCAGTTGTCTAAAACGCCGGGCCTGCAGGGCCTTCCTGACACAATGCATCTGAGTGTGCAATAACCATGAGATGGTGATGGTCCCTGCCGCCCACTTGTGCCGCCAGTGGCACAAGTAGGCTGTCCGGGCTAAGTAGCGCCTCCAGCAGGGCAGGATGTGGATGGCAGCTGCCTCAATGCCTCCCTCTCCCTTGTAGCGCTGACCTGGGCACAAGACCAGGCCCAATACCTCCTCCCAGTTTTCAAGCATTGAGAGGAGGCTGATAACTGGAGGAGTCTTTTTCCAACCATTACCAAAACCATTGTTAAACTCCATTAGCTGTTCCCTGCTCACTTTGGCTAGAGGCACAGCAAAGCTGAGCAGCTTTTCCGGGGCCTCCAGAGCATCTACCACACTGCTCCAGCACAAGTTAAAGCTCTGCTTGAAGTGACAGAAATCTGTCGCCATTGGGTTGATCTGTCCCTTTATGATAGTAAAGGGGTATTTACAGGTATATTCTACAGGACACAGGGAAACAAGTGTGAGGCAACCAAACTAGACTTTAATAATACAGTTAAAGGAATTGAAATTAAAATTTAATTTAACTGTTTGAAACTATTACAGCATTCTTACCTGAAGGCTTTTAAAGATAAGACCTTGCATTAAACCTCTGTGGTGTGCGCTCTTGGAGGTTGTGGAGGCACGCAGTTTATTGGTGGTCTACAGGGCTGTGCTTTATCTGCCTATTCTTTTGTGGGTGGATCCAAGTTCGGTCTCACATTAAAGCTGCTTGTGCCACCTGGACTTCAGGTGTATCAGACCTAAAGTCACAAACAGTGGCTACGTTTTGGAGTTACAATGTGGTAGCAAAACAGAAAAGAAAATGCAAGAAATTAGAAAATATTGCATCATCACAGTGGCAGGATTTTTGTTATCAGGTTTCAGTATTTCCAAGGGCTGAACTTCACTACCAAAGCATTGAAGCCTACATGGATCAGTCAACAATATTATTTTTTTCACATTCAAGATATATTAAAATATTTAACCTTAATGTATGAACCAAAAGAAGTTGGGATACTAAATCTGGCAAAATGTATTATCTTCTACCGACATTGTGTGAGATATGGCTTTTAATTGATAGTGACAGCTGAGGAGTGACATGAAAGGAGGCTGAGATGACATGTAGCAAAGGGCCACAGGTCAGAGCCAAACCCATGGCCGCTGCTGGACGCCAGCTCTACCTGGTGAGCTATGTGTGAGCCCCATCAAGGCCAATAATCGGTCTATTTCTATTTAGGAGAGCCACAAAAAAAACTGGCCCTGGCAAAATTGTAAATTGTCCTGTAACCTGTCTCTTGCAGCGATTAATCACAAAGATTAAAGATTAATCATAAAATACTATAACTCAGAGCAATTCAATTCTGCTAAAGTTTTTCATTACACACTATCATAATAAAATTAAAAGTAGATTCAATGGCCTATAAACAGATTCAAATGTCTCATTACTCAGAAAACACAAAGTTTGTGCTGCTGATCCTCCAGACTTGTCACCTAATGTCCTCTCCTTCGTTCTCCTCAGACCACTGAGCTCTCTGACAGACCACAGGTAGTAGCCAGGTGCTGGGAGATTCTCCCCTCAAAGGCACACATCTGTTTCAGATGGGGTTGGGAAAAGGTGGCACCTTTTGTAAAATTGCTAAAATGCAAAAGCTCATTCCCTGGCATGGGTACGGAGTGGAGAAGAGCTGGCCTGAGTTGCAGGAGGAGGCAGCAGGCAGAGAGCCAGTGGTTAGCAGTTGGGGAAGCTACGGCTGTCTTATTGGCATGCTGGACCAGGTACCCACTTCTGTCCTGAGACAGCTGTAAACCACTAGCCCATAGCACAGCAATCAGGCGCTTGTTTCTTTAGAAGAATGCTGATGTGCTGCAATCTGCTGCTTTCCGCTTTCTGCAGCCAGCACTTCCATCTCTCCTATATCAGAGTGACAGTCTTGGCCGCTATTTCTCATGTCAGGTATGGATTCCCAAAAACATATTGGAAAAGAAAATGTGTGAAATATATCTAAAACTAATGCCGACCTTTGCAAAGATTAATTTGTTTCCTGTGATAAGTGCTGGCTGTCATCACTAAGCCAAGTGACCTTTATGTCACTGTCTCTCTGAGCATGAGACTTGAAGCATCTATTAATGCAGACCTGTACCATCACTCTTCACTCCAGCATAAAGTGTCTATTCTGGGGATTAAGGGAGTATCGGGACAAGGAACAACGATATCCATTTCATCTTAGTTGTAGCAGAAACTCTTGTAATGCTTCCTAATCAAATTTTTCCTGAGGCATGTGCTTTATGTTACGATTAATATCAACAAAGACTCAGGACACAGGAATTAATTTCTCACTGCAAGAAGCAAATAACTCGAGGACATGATACTATTTGGATTATTGTTTGTTATTATAGTTGATTATAGTCTTTTTTCTAGCAGTAAGACTTTGGTGTGATGAGAAAATCTGCTGCTTAACTAAGAAAGCCAAAATACCAGACCTGATTTTCGCAAGTTCTCCTGGGTGTCACTCCATGATTGTCATGAGGTCGACTCAACCTGACAACAAATTGTAGAATATAATTATGGGACAAAAAAAGACAACTATCACTTCTATTCCATAAATAGCTGAAAGGCTCCAGGACAGACCTGAATCAGGTAACAATTCCAAGTTCATAGTGTTTACGTTAAACCCACCTAGAGTACCACAGTGCATCACAGTAAGGTACTGTGATTTATATATAATTCTTATGAAAATCACAGTATGCTTTGAACATTATGTCTAGCATCAATACTTCTAACAATATTACCATGATACTGTTGTCCCAAACCCCATATTGTTTTGAAAGTACTGAAACAAACCTCTCTGCATAGTGCAGTTTCTATGCAAACATTTATTAATCTACATTTATTGCCAGATTACACCTAGTCTAGTCTTGCCTGTTTTAATGTGTAATACAATAGAATAGTCTAACTGGCCTACCTGCAGTATACAGTAGGCTATATATTTGACCCTTTATTACTTTGTCACTAAAAAGGACTATTCATTTCTGAACATAAATATGAATATTTGTTTCCCCTTTGTGGACACACATCTAGGAAACTGGTAGGTTTCCTGTGTAATGTCTCTTTTATGTTCACAATACCAATCACCAGAGTTCATGCAGTTCTAAACATATTTATTAAAAGTTCTAACAGTGAGAGAGTGAAGGAAAATATAATCTTCTGCATCTATTTACAATTAAAGAACATATTAGTTAACTGTCAGCTACATTTGTATGAAATATATTTTATATTATCTGTGTTAATTCTGCTTGAAACATCCTCCTCGCCTTGATACTACTCTCTTGCAATTGGCAATGTCTCAAGACTACATTGGAGTGATGGGAAATGATGTTCTTATTCCGGACAGATAACACCGGCCGATCAGGAGTGCCGAGGCCACACCATAGATTGTATAAGGGACTAATGTGGGACTACCAGCAAGAATTTAACTTTTAGTTAACGTTAATATTACTTGCATATTGATAGTTTATCTACATTTCTGTCGGGAGGCTTCCAAATAAAGAGAAGTGTTACATTTAACGTTAGTTATTGTCTGCACTGTGTTCATAATTTATAATGCTGAGCTAATCTAAAAAGCTAATTTAACGTTTGTTAATTTGCGGACGTTAGCTTTATACATTCTCTCGCTTGAAATAAATAAACTGCTCCCAACTTGTCTTCGTTTTTTAAGCACTGGGTATAATAGTGTGACTCAAACTTATGTCACAATATAATGAATGTTAACGTTATATCAGCTAACGTAAAAACTGTTATCAAACCACTTAACGGTAGCTAGGTAACGTTAGTTCTAAAGCTTAACTGCTCGTAACCATGACAACAAGATGCCAGAAAAAGAGCCTTTGGTACGAGTGTCTCTTTGCCCCGCGTGTGAACTGTCAGACAGTTGACTCTCGTCTGCCTGAGTGAAAAACAACAACTTTCGTTACGATTAGCAGATTCAATTCCAACTATGATACTACTCTACTTTAACCGGTAACGTAAATATACATTATGAATTTATTATTAAACTTTTGGCGGCGCTTGCTTTGCCTGACAGGCGATTTGAAGGGCGTTAATTTTTTTCACAATCCAGTAAAACGCATCAGTACAAGAAGCTCATTTAATGTTAAATCTCACCGTAAACACAATTTACCTTTTCTAATACCTGACTTATGTTATGAGAATAAAATATAAATCCGTTATTTAAAGAAAGTTTCAGTTCCGTTGCACCGGAAGAGACCCTCGCAGCCGAGTTCAAAGGTCACCAAAGTTGGTTAACGTAACGTTAAGCTAGCAGCTGGAGAAGCTAGCCTCAAACACTATAAAAATGTCAACTTCCGAAGAAGACACAGAGCTGGCTATCCCGTGTGTGCTCATCACGAGCTGCGACAGTGGTTTTAAAGAGGAAGAGCTGATTAAACGTGAGTTCAGCAAAGCTTACGCGCATGATTTGGCTAACAGGCTAACGTTAAGGAAAGCTAACGCAGTCTCCGCGTTAACACTCACCTGTGTGATGCGAATACAGGTGGATAACCATTTGTCTCAGACTAACAAGTGAGCAGAGAGGTTATTTCTTTGTGGGGCTTTTTATAAAAACAGCAGTGGTACGGCTGAAGGGGGTCACTTACATATTATTCCTACAGGTTGGCGGCGACTGCAATGAAAGCAAGCTGAGCAACTTCGCCTCTTGTTTGTATGTGCGATTTATGTCAAATGTGTTTTTGCCTCAGAGATCCTCAGCCCGACGACCATGCCCGAGCCGATCAAGAGAGACGAATCAGTCGCCTGGTATCCGTGGACCATCAATAACAAATACTATACAGCAGACGTGCGGCTATGTGTTGTACCAAGCACTTTTCAAATGTCATCGGAGATTGCCCAGTCCATGCAGGCTTTCATCGCTTATTTTGACAGTACAGTGGTACGTGACTTAGCTGTTGTTAGAAACTCTCGACAGTGTGTCCTGTGATACATGTTTAACGCTCATTATGTGTGCATGGTGTTGACAGAAGGATGGTTTGGAAAAGCTTCATCCTTGGATATCAGTGGTGGAGGATCTTGCTCCAGAGGTGCTGATTCTGGTGTGTGACAGAGTGTGTGAAAATGGTTAGTTCTCCAGCTCTGTATGAAAGCAGAAAATACCCAAACACAATTTTACGGCGTACCATGTGGCATCTGAACTTTCATTTGCTTTGTAGGGGTCACCAGACACGAAGCACAGCAGTGGTGTTTGGCTCATGCCTTTGAGCTGGTGGAGCTCAATCCACAGGAGTTGCCTGATGAGGATGGTGAGATTTACAGAAACGCACACGTTTATATTTTTATTGTCCATGTTGTGCTGATTGTTGAACTCTCATTTGCACTTTCTTTGTTGCCTTTACCAGATGACTTTCCAGAGTCCACGGGAGTAAAGCGAATTGTCCAGGCTCTCAATGCCAATGTGTGGTCCAGTGTGGAGATGAAGGATGGTGAGCTGACACCAATACAGCTGACCTATTGCACTTTCTCCTGACTGTCTAATTCACCTCTGTCTGTGTATGGTATGTGACTGGTTATATCTCTGATAGGCCACAATCAGGGCTTTGGTCTGATGAGTAGTTTGGTGGCCTCCAGACACAACAACCCACACCCACACAACTGTCAAGATCCTCCAGTAAGTGGCATTTTTGTGTAACCATTTTCTTTTACATGTATAATTGTCTATTTTTATTTAAATGGGGTTTTAAATCTCTCAGTTTCGAGGAGGCATGGCTAACCCTAGCAACTTTTCTCTGTCAGTCTTCCAGCTTGCCAGTAGAGGGCTCACTTGTTAGTGAGGAGGCCAACCATACAGAAAGTAGCACAAACACAGATGCACAAGGGGACACAGTAGTTGGTAAGTGAACAACTCCTGATAAAATCTGTTCATGACTGATTTTGATCTTGCTCATGCATTTTCTGCAGTATGTTCACTCAAAACATGGACATCTTGATGATATGGAATTACATGTAAAGTTATTAATATTCACACGTGTTGATTTTCTCAGATGCAATGACGGATTTGGACATACAGGAACTGGCTAATCTCACGGCTGGAGATGCAGACGTGGATAACTTTGAACGTCTTTTTACCAAATTAAAAGAGATGAAAGGTAAATGAGAGTGGAAAAGCAAAAGCCCATCTTTGTTTGCATAAACAGCCTATGTTGGCCCTTTTTTTTTAAAACATACAGGCTTTTTTGGTGTGTTTAAACCTTGCTCTGATTGTTTGTTTCAACCTGCAGACAAAGCTTCTTCATTACCTCATGAGCAGAGAAAGGTTCATGCAGAGAAGGTAAGCAACTGCATTCACCCCTGAGTATAAGACACCAAGACTCTGAGCTGTTTGCGTTCATATTCAGTGTGTCCTGGTTATATAAAATAGGAATCATCTACCAAGAGATAGTTTTGAACAGTGTAATAGTATCTTTACAATCTCACACCATTTTCAAACTAGCCAGTCCATGCCTTAATAAGTGATATGACAATTGTTTTGGAGCAATAGCAGGTTCCAGCTGGGTTTCAGTGTGAACCCTCAACTAGCTCAATGAGTTGTCTAGGTGAACATGTTTATGTAAACCCCAGTCTCAAGTATTTACACAAAATTTTCTTTCTAGGTAGCAAAAGCGTTTTGGATGGCCATCGGTGGCGATGACGACGAGATAGACGGCTTATCATCGGGTGAGGAAAGCTAAAAGTGGCTACATATGAATCAGTCTCTTTAACCCTGATCCTCCTCCTTTCCTGGGGCTCCCACAAGATCCAGCGCCCTTTGACTTGCTTCTTGCACCTGGAAAGTGGAGATGCTTACAGATGGTACTGTAGGCATAGTCATGTTTAGAAACTTTTGATTCTTAAAATGAAATGAACGCAATACTGGTGTATAGTGAGAATCAGTTGGATATCTTGTCTGGCGAGAGAAGAGAGCCAAAGGATGGCCCTGACCCTTCTCCCCTGGGTCCCTCGCTATGCTTAAGCCCTGAGTGTACCTCAACAAATAATGGCGATGCAGGAGGAAAACAAAATAAAATTGTGGTCTTTGATTTATGTATACGTCCTGTAGGTACTGTTGTCACATATATTTGCAAGTGACACAATGTGCCTTTTCCTTAGAATTGTAAGACATTTGATGTACCTTCTGTCGAATCAACATAAAGAGTTGTGATTTTAAATGTTTTGCTTTTTAGTGTGGCCTTTTTACTGTGAACACGACTGTTGCACTACATGGTTACAGCTCATCTCATTCCTGAAGAGAAACAAGGAAGGAAGGAACATCTGTGTGCTGCAGTGGAGTACCTCTCCAATAAATAAAACATTCAGTCGAGGTGCATTATTGGACAGCATTCACCTCTAACAGATCACAATGGTAGCGTATTCGTATACAGTGGATTCTATTTTTCTAATTACTGTGTATTAACAAGCCATGGTTTAAAAAAAAAACATTGACATACAATTTATTTTACTCAGTTGCAATTTATTAAATTTTCACAGATAACAAAACAATGGTCATTGAGAACAAATATTAGGCTACATGAAAAACCATGTACATAAGACTTGGAAGAGAAAACCACCAACTAAGAATATCGAGGAACACAAGTACTGATACAGATCTACCAACTACCTAACGCACTTTAGTACACAGTATTTCAGTTTAACACCATCTAACTGGATTACATGGTGCCCCAGTCTTATGTACTGTAAGTAAGTGCAGGATAAACATGGTGGCTTCATAGATGACCAAGGACAGCGAGCATATTACACAGGCCATATATTGCAGCAATGTACATGTAATATACAGTATTTACTGGACAAGCAAACTACCACTAGAACTAAAGCTTTACACTGATCAACACATTAAGTTGGAAGTGCATCATTTACCCACAAGGAGCATAATGTACTATTGGCTAACAGTTGGTAATATGTGAAAAGACCTGCATTTATGTTTTCACTCTACATGCCTTCGATGGATGAACCACAGCCAAAGTTGCTGCTAGTGACTACCCTTCACACTGAAGTCACACTGTGCCTAAACTCAACCAGTCCACCAAGATCACTCATATTGTATGTCATACTCTACGTCCCTATTATGAAATACCAGTATTCCTATGTGTCACACTTGAGAACCAGTTGACCTGGGTTAGAACAGTCTGCGTTTAAGTTTGGGTCAATTAAAGCAAAGTCCTTGTGTGAATCTACTCATGCCAGGGGTCAGTCAGGTCCACTGTTTCAAGCAATTCATGACTACAAGAAATAACAAGCTATAAATATTTATGTACAATCATATTGAGGCATTAAAAAAAATATATTCCCATGCAAGACAGTATGCAAAAATAACTTATAAAATGTCTCTTTCACTGAGCAAAATAGTTTTCATACAAGGGTTCTTTTCAAGAAACAATGGTGCTAATGTCTATATTTTCTTTAAAATAGATAAAATACCAATTACATGATTTATCAGATAACTGTCACTCATTAATATAGATCAATCAATATGGGCTAAGTACCTTGTACTTAATATTCATTAAATATATTCTATTTAATCACTATTCAAAGTTACATTTTCATGTTAATTTATGGTTCAATTAATATATAAGCTTCCAAATTCAGCAATTACAAAGAGTGGTACTAGGACACTGAAACACCAGTGATGATAGCGTATTCATAATTTTTGGTAATTCATAGAATCAAAAATGTTTTGAAACATGTAAAAGGTGACCATAATGAAACTGTACCACAACTTCAATGTAGGAGACAAACAAAGTAAATCTCCTTTATACAAAAAAAAAATGTTACAACACTAAGCATATACATGACATCCGAGTGAATAATGAAAATGTGGTTAGTCTTTTGAAACCTATTGTATTGCAAATACCCTGTGGCTGCCCGTTGAACACATGAAAACAAAACAATGTACAATTCCTAAAATAACCATCAAATGTAGACACTAAATGGTACTAAGGAAAGTGCTATATAATATACGTGAGGTGAAATGTGAGACTGCGAGGAAGGAGGGTGATTCGTTAATTTAATGAATGAATGTCTTTCATTGTTATCACTGAGGGACGCTTGAGTTTTCCTATGTGGTTTGTGTATAAGTGTGTGGATGGGGAGGGAGGGTCTCTGGGAAGCATGTGCTGCTCCTATGACACACTGGAGCAGTGGATGCTGGGAGAGCCCATCTGTGTGAGGACCTTGTCCAGCCACTGCAAAGGGCCATTGAGATGCAGCTCTATCCAGCAGGGGGTGCTGGTCACTGTCTGACGTCTGCAGTGTACAGAGAAGGACACAGTTTGATATTACTGATAGCTTTTTACACTACATCACAGTATTGTCATTTGAAGTCACAAAGACACGTCATCGTTACTGAAACTTCATTACAGTCAATTCAAAGGTACAGTCAACTCAGTATTTCCTGACTGACACTGGCGCCAACTGTACGGGCTATTTCTGAAGTCATTCAAGTTTCTATCAGAGATGTTTTTCTCTGAGATGTTTGGTGCCAGAAATTTAACACGCGCCACTCAAAGACCAGTGGGAATCCCCCTTGCAAAGGGTGACTGAAATGTGTTCACCTCCCACTCCATGTCCCCTGCATTCTTCCTGTTACTCAACCCTCTCTTGCCGACTCACAGCTGCACCCTCCCCCCCATCACCCTCTTTTTTCCTTTCCAAGTCTGCTACCATCTGTGCAAATCACCCTTCATTTTTTTTCAACCCAAAACCTAATTCAATTATCCTGACCATAAACATGACGTCCCTCTAGCATTTTCTTCTTAGATTTGGGGCAAACAGCAGACTCAAGGAAAAACAAAAATAGTGATGACTAACCCTTAAAAAAGTTCTTTTAACTGCTCACTTTACACAACCTGTGTGTTAGAGGCAGGTACTTTATTCAACTTTGGAAACAAACAGCTAGTTGAATACTTAACTATGGATGGCTTTTTTACACAAACAAGAAGTGAGAAGGAAAAGGTACACAGAGTGTCTGGTCTTGGCTGTGAATGGCTTTATGTGCTGTTGTATCTGCAGAATGATGTTCTACCAAGAAAGTAGCCCTGAGCAGAGAAGGGAAGGTTCATAGTTGGGCCCAGTTCAGACCCCCATCATTTCTCAGACCTGACAGCCTCCCTCAACATTCACGAGAGAATAAAGGAAAATAATCAATGTGACAGAAAGAAGCCATAGTTTACTTGTTGAATCAGTTAAATGTTACTTTTCAAGGTTTTTGGCCTCTGTTAAAAGTCTAGACTCTGCCAGTCAAATTCTATATGTTGGTATTTTTGGTGGAATCTCAAGAAATAATTTTACCTTTAACTGAACTGCGAAATGCTGCTACATTACCTCCATTTGAATCAAATATGGCCTCTTTACCAAACAGCATATTATACATTTGTCTGAGCAACGTATACCAGCACTTGAATTATTTGATTATTATGACTTCTCCAATGTCTTATACCCTTTTGTTATAGATGCATACATATTCAGTGAATAACACATAAATGTCCGGAACAAACATTACGCATTCATACAATCTTATTAAGCATCTTACCTGTACTCAGCTCCCCAACCCTTGACAAAACTCATGCGAATGGTACACATTCTGGTGAGTTGGTAGACCGCCTCAAAGCCCTGGTTGACTGACTGGGCCAGCAGAGCAGCAAACTCCTGGTTGTTGAAGATCTTCAAGTTGCAGCCTGCAAAATAAAGATTTATTATCAGGCTTACTAGCGCTGAGATGTCAATGTCAGTGTCAATGGGTTATTAGAACACAGTAATGCTCCGGTTATTTTGCCTCTCATGGCTTTCTGTGTTTGTGTGTATCCTCTCATGCTGACCTGGCGGTATTTTGCAGACAGTGGCAGGATGCCAGCCATAGCGCTGGTTGCAGTTGGGACTCTGGACAAAGATGGCACTGTCGCTGAGACACTCTGCAAACACCTCGCCCCCAATGTAGTACAACCTCACGCCCCGTCCTGGAAAGGGAAGAGAGAAGATTTGCGCTCAACTCACAGCTACCTGCTGACTATGTCAAGCACACATATAAAAGGCAACTTAGATGAGAGCTTATGTGGTCCCTATTAAATAAAATGAGTACCTATGTGTCTGCGTGTGAGCTCTACTGCTGAGTTGCGGTTAACGTTGGACAGCAAGCCCAGACAGAAGCGTTCAGAGTTGGAGGGGTCTGTGAATCCGTCTACTGTGAGGGAGGGCTGGGAGGCATGGAAAGTCTCTCCTACACGTTGGTTCAGCTCATAGTAGGAGATGGAGCACCAGAAGGCAGACTCGCAGTACGTCACAGGTTGTAAGTCTGTTGCGGGTTAGATGGAGAGGAGACATTAACAGAAAAACAAGCTTCAGTTAGGTCCGTAAAGAAAGAACAGGTGACCTGCTTTGTAGTCGAACAGCCATTTGATTGTGAAGATGCACACTACTGATAAAGTTTCCCTTTGATTTCTCTTCAAGAGCTCTTTCCCACGACCCTCATGGCCCCAGCCAGGAATGGCCAAGACGTGACGTACTTATTATTTTTTTTAACAATGACCTCCTGGTGGCTTTCCACATAGATTGAATAACCTGGCAACCGGATATTATTATTATTGCATTACCTTGAGGTTTCTGTCGCTGGCTTTTCCACAGATGAGGACAGACCATAGACAAAGACTCCATTCATACCATATTTACTCTGTTACTGCCCTGAGGCTATGCCTCCCAGACGTAGTCCACTGCCCCTCTATTGCTCATCTGTCTCTCTCACACACACACACACGCACACACACACATACACACAAACACTTACCCCTAAAAATATATTCTAATATGCTAGTCGGTGGATTTCCTATGTACAGCATCATCACTAAGATGTTGGCTATTTTTGGTTTACTGAGTTGTTTTGACTTGTTGTCACTATGGTACAATCATCAGGTAGGGATGGGTCCATTGTTGCGGGATGATTCAGAATGAATGGTCTCTACAGCTGGTCCTACATGTATGCTCTTACTGTATACATGTGCCTTAGACTTGAAGGTGCACATTCAGTACCAGTAACAGGACAGTACAACTACAACATTTTACCAACTCTGTTTATTTTGACATTTCAATTAATGTACCAGTATTTAACTGTTACTGACAGTAACAGTTTAGGCTTTAGTGGTTTAGCTAAAGAGCTTGGAGTTTGTGTTGTTTAGTTTGAGTAACCAATGCAGAATTATAGCCCAATGACAACTGAGCAAGTTAAATTTCAAACCCTTTTGATACTTGCAAAACTCTGAATGTCCAAATCCACTAATAGTTTAGCAAAAAGGAGGAACTTTGAACTTTGGGTGCTTGAAATAAACAAAGGAGAGCTGTTGTTTGTGTGTGTGTGTTTGAGAGCGCTAGATGATTGCTAGGCTACGTAGCCTACAATACCTGTACTGGGAAGATGAATACTTTTGTGTTGAAAGGGATGGACCACTATTCTCAGAGCAACCCATAAGCACCGGCTGCAGGCCAAATAGCAGACTACTCATTCAAGTCCAGCTGGTGACATTTATACACAGAACAAATGCAGTATTAAGTTACTGCTAACGAAAACCAAACATTTTCTAGTGCTGCAGCTTCACATTAAAAACATTTAACTGGCAAAACACAAGTTGACTTTTATAAGGAATTTGGGTAGTCAGAAAATGCAATGTCTGTCAGTGAGCTTGACACTGACTGCTATCATTCATCAAAAATGTGTCTACAAAACAATGGTTACTTTTGGCATTTTTTGACAGTGAGTTTGAAGTATTGCAGAGAGTAATGGAACAAGAAGTGGCAGCCAGTTAGATGAAGAGTGGCAGGCAACTGGCTGCAGCTGCGGCACCTTCAACTTCTCAGCAAGGTAACATTAACCAACTACCTTTGCTTTCATCCTGTGTGCAGCATAAAATCAGATCATGGTTGCTCAAAGAATGATAGAAAAGGCAGATTATTTCCTGACTACTTTATTAAAACAACAATAGTTTGTTCTGCTGTATATCTAGTCACCATTATGGATTCCCCTGATTTTTAGGAATCTGTTCACACGGATACAGAGTAATTAAAATGTAATGAATTTGGTAAGAAAGTGAAAATATTACATTTATATATATATATGATTGAACGCGGGTGATTCGCAGAGAGTCATTAATGGACTAAAGCAAAGTAGGCAGCCATTATATAGTATCCGAGTGTGCAAAAAACAACCGAAGAATTAGGCAGACAACTGCTGCCAGCCTACCGGCACCCATCCTCTTCTAAACTACTTTCCACGAACAGCTAGTGTAAAAACTACTAACCAATCGTGACGGATGATTTACGGTCTTTTAATCCTGTGGTCAGCTATGAAAGATATACCAGATGGAAACGATGATCCTCAGAATGGTCTGCTCAAGCAACTTCGACCTCAGGAACACCTGTACTCCCCAAGCGGCAGACTAATCTTCCATAGACTTACTTTATATCAAATCATTCCCACAAACACACACAAATATGTCAGTATCTTCTGTCCTGCTGCTTAATTCAATTGTTCATCCACTCTCATATCCTTTCACCCATCTAACGCGACTAACCTGACGAGAATTCTACGGAAACCACACCTGCTATAACGCATGGATTATAATCATGTTATGTACAGTTATACAGAGTACATTGCAACTACAAATGCTATACCTTCGAATCTCCTGGTAAGGAAAGTCTAGAAACAACTTGCACTTACAACTAAACATTAACTAAACTACCCTGCAATATATTTTTTTTTCCATTTTTGGAAACTAAATCGTTTTTAAAAATATAAAAAATTAAATCTTGATCTTAATGCGAACTGCTACAGTAAAGACTATATACTATAACCCTCCAATATATAATATATATATATTAATATATACCTCCAGTATATATAATAGTACTGAAGTAATTACCATTTGGTTGCAAAAAGGGCCATGGTTGATTAAGCCATTATTATACCTTC